GACAGACATGGCCTTCACCTGGCCACGGAAAATACCACCTTGCCAGCCAAGGGCTTGTGCTGCCTCACGCCTGATGCCTCTTTTGGTTTTCTCTTCCCATCTTATTGTCTATTGGTCTTCCAGATAACTACTATTACCCCATTCCACTGGTGAGGACGTCGAGGCCAGAAGGATTCCATGTCTTGCTTAATACACAGTTATTGGACCTCAGAGCCCGGCATTGCCTAAGTAGCTCAAGCTCATATCCACACCACTAAGCCTGACACAGGGTGAATGCTTCATCTGAGTTTGGGGGCCATCTGTGACAACCCCAGAGAAAGTCCCAAGGGCAAGTGGCTTTTAATAGGCTCATAAACTACTCTTTTTTTTTTTTGATACCAGGGATCGAACTTGGGACCTTGCGCTTGCGCGGCAGGCACCAGAACCACTGAGCTAAATCCCCAGCCTGCATAAACTACTCTTTAAATGACCTTTTTCCCTGAAGTACCTGGCCCAGTGCATGGCACACAGTGCTCACGGTGTGTGGGTGTGATTATTGGTCATTATTGTCAGTGCTTCCTGGTCTCTGTGGCACTCGCCTCTGTTATTTTATTTGGTCTCCACATCCCTTAGGAGATTGGCAGGGGGACAACCCCCCCACTTTGCAGCTTCATGGTCACAGTGTGCAGAGCGGAGCTCACCTGGCCTCTCCCTCTTGTTCCCCACACCACGACTTGGACCTGGCCCAAGTAGGATGGGACCAGGTGGAGCCAGGTCCCTTTAAGGGCCCTCAGGCTGGGACATGGGGAGGGAGTGGCCCCTAAACCCACCGCAGGCTGGGACTGCATTCTCTGGGGAGCGAGTGGCCGCCTGGCATTTTCCCTTTGATACTGATACAGGCATTTTAATAGCTTCGACCCATCAGGCGGGTGATGTTTCAGCTCTGGCCATGCAGGGCATTCCAGGAGGCCCTGCCTGCCAGCAGGGGAGAAGCAGGAAGGGTTCTGCTCTCAGGGTAGCAGGGGGTCCATGCAGGGGCTGGGAAAGGATCCCACCCACTCCTGAGCCTCAGCCTGGAGACTTCTAACCAGGCCTCTCACACTCACGTACCTAAGGGAGCCAGGCCGCTGCCTGAGCAAATGAGGCCAGCCAGGGGAAAGAGTGTCATGGTGCCATCTACAAGGGGGCAGCCTCCACACAGCACCACCGGGCCCACAGCTGCCAACCCTCCCATGATAGAAGACAGACCGGAAGTTAGAGATGAATGTGATATCAGCTGATTTGTAAACAACCAGTACTTACTGAGCACTTGCCACGTGCCAGGTCCTGTTCTAGGCACTGGAGATATGACAGAGAATAAAACAGAACAAAGTATCAATGTCCTTGTGGAATTTACCTTCTAACAATAGAGGGAGACAGTAAGCAAAATAAATATGCAAAATATACAAATAAATAAACATAAGAAGGAAATGAATCAGGGAAGGGGATTGAAAGTATGGGGGTAGGGCTTACAGAACAAGGAAAGGCTCATCAGGTGCGTGCCACATAGAGAGATAGGAAAGAATAGCATAGGCAGAGGGAACAGTAAGTGCAAAGGCCCTGAGGCAGGAGAAAGCCTGGTAGGTGCAGAGCAAGAGACCTGCATGGTCACCCTGGCTGCTGTGTTAAGAACTGGCTGTGAGGGAAGGGGCAGAAGCAGAGGGACCTACTGGAAGGTTATCACAGTAATTGGGCCAGGTGGTCCTGGTGGAGGCGATGAGAAGGGGCTGATGCTGGGTGTATCTGGAAGACAAAGAACAGGAGCAGGTCATTGAATGGGTGTGGGTGAGAGAGAAAGAGGCACTGACGACAATTCTGAGCACCTGGTGGGATGCAAGCACCATTCGTTCCCTGTAATGGGAAGCTGGTGGCAGGGTGGGTCCGGGCAGGGGACAGAAGATCAGGAGCTCAGTTTTGCAGTGCCAATTCTGAGATGCCTGTGAGCAGACACATCCAGTAGCCATGAACGTGTGCACTGGGCTTCTGCAGGGAGGTCTAGGTTCCTGAAGCCCCAAGACCAGGCGAAGTCCCTGAGCCAGCCGGGGCCTGGTGGCAAGAGGGCCCTGCATGGTGGCCCACAAGCTTTAGGAGTCAGGTAGACAAGAAGGGGCCCGTGAAGAGAACTAAGGGGACAGTCGGGATGACAAGAGGAAAATGGAGAGAACTGGCCTCCTAGGAGCCAAGCGCTGGGAGTATTACCTGGAGGAGGAAGGAGCAAAAACTGCCCGTGGGACTGTCACTGTACCTGGGACCTCGGAGGCTGCTGTGTGCCCCGGGGAGAGCCCTGTGCAGGGCAGAATGTAGTAGGAGCAGCCTAGGGGACACCATCACCAGGAATTTTTCTAGGGAAAGAGCTAAACACCCTTAAGAAAAACTGTTTCTTTTCTTTTTCACGATGAGAGGAAGAACAGCCTGTCTGCACTGTGATTCCATCAGGGTAGACAAACCACAGCTCCAACTGGCTGGCAGCCCAATTTTGTCAACCTGTTTCTATGGCAACACAGCCACACTGATTTGTTTTCGAATTGTCCGTGGCTGCTTTCACCTGTGACCAGAGATTTGAGGAGTTGTGACAGAGGTCTTGAGGGCTCACACCACTGAAAAAATCTGCCAGGACCCTTGACAGAAGCTGTGTGCAGTTCCTGGTATAAATGACCTGTTCAGAGGAGGAGGCCAACCAGGCGGGAAGGCAGGGGACGTGCTGGCCTATGGTCCCTTTACAGGCAGGCTGGGGAGATCAGGGCAGAGGGAGGGTCTGGCTTAGGCAGGGAGCACAAATGAGAGGGAGGCCAAAGGACACTTGGGGTCACAGACACAGATGGAAGGTCTGGTTGCTGGCTGGAGCCACCATGTGCACTTCTGTTGGCACCTAGTGCCAGGCTGCTGTTGGATGAGCCGTGAACCTGTTGGTCACAAACTGTGACCAGATTGTTGTAAACTTCACTGGCCGTGGCCTGTGGGTCATTGACTAGCTCCATCACTTAGCAGGCCTGTGCCACATGGCCACTGGAGAATAGACCCACAGGTTGTTGGTGGGAAGGGGGATGGAAATAGACTCCCGAGGTCTCTTCCTGCAAAGTGACATTCATGAGCCAGACTCAGACCTGGGTATCAGAGACGCTTCCACCAGACTTTGCCTGGGGGGTCACTGTCCAGTGACCACTCCGGCCTCAATACTCATCTGCCTTACAGTTGGGTGCCACCCTCCCCTCTCTAAGTCATGGAATGTTCCCACTCTTCCTGTCTCTTTGACCTCCCGTCCCTGCTGGTTTCAGAGCCCTTTCCCACCTTGTCTGTCCCTGAGCCTCCTCACTAAGGACATCTGTACTCACCTTTCTCCAGCCGGACAGAGTGGACTTGGCCTCAGAGGCCAGAGTGCACAGCTCAGATCCACCATACACTGGCTCTGTCACTCAGCTTGAGTCTGTTTCCTTGAGTAGCTACTGAGGTCACTGTTAAACCTCCCTTAGAATTTGATTGTGAAAGATAGATGTGATCCTCCAAATTGAAGCGCTCAGCTCAGTGCAGTGGAGCTCAGCATACATCAGTGTGTTCTGAATCTTCTTGAAGCTTTCTGACCTGACCTCCCCTCCCTACTACCCAACATCAGCTCCAGGACATCTCCCATGTGACTTTCTTTTCTTCTGTGGCCCATCCTGAGGGGCAAAATGGCACAGCACTGAGGAACCAAATCCAAGGGAAACATGTATGGTCTGCCTGACCTCCTAAATGGCCAGCACTGGCCAATGGGATGGCAGTCTCAAAATACAGCCAGATTTTGCCAGCCAGAGTCCAGGGCCATGTGGCAGGATCTTCTCGTTTTTCAAGAGAAACTGGAAATGCAAATTTGCATGGGAAACCACCCACTGCAAAATATTGGCAGTAGCCTCCATAACAGTTTTTGAGATCTACATTGAAGTCAGATGAACTACACTAAGGGCCAACATGGCTCTGTGGGTGCCAGCTTCTAACTGCTGCACCAGTGTCAGAGAGTGTGGGTTTGAATCCCAGCTCCAACCTTTACTTCCCTGTGACCTGGGCCGGTGACAGTCTCCCCTCTGTACCCAGGTCTTTCACCTGTAATATGAGTGTGCCAATGGCTGATGTTCCTTGAGGGCTTCCAAGGTGTGGGACACATATGCACCGACCTTTCCAGTCCTCTTGGTAATGCAGGAAGCTGGGACTGCAAGGGCCAGGATCCAAGAGCCCTGTGAGCCTGGCAGTTTGGCTCTGAGATAGTTGGGCCGCCTCATTATGAGGAGTAGCAGGAATCCTCACATAAGGCACACTGCCCCCGGTGGAGTGGGCATTCAGGATGTTGGTAGCTGTGGGCATCCTGCTGTGTGTTGCATGAACTTGTTCACTTGCCGCCATCTACGTGGCATTCCTGGGGAGTAAGGAGTGTCTTCCTTCTTCCAGACTGGCACAGTGACCTCAAGCTGTGGAGGAAGAGGTCTGTGGAGAGGTGCCGAGGGCCTTCAAGTCCCCATCCCTGCCCACTTGCCTGTGCTGGCTTCATGAGGGACACCAGAGGAAGACAGGAAACTGTCCCGGCCCCAGATCCATCAGGAGCCCCGTCCAAGAAGGGAAAAAGTTAGCAGGGAGCTGAGAAAATCCTGACAGTGTGCACATGAGCATGGGGTGCAGAAGGTTTGTAGGGTCCTGCGGTTGGGGTTAAGAGCTTGTTGAAGACATCAGACCCTGAGATGACTGTGATAGGCTTTGTCCTCTGCTTATTAACCAGGTGCCCAGTGGCCAATGGAGGGCCATGAACCAATATTTTTTTTTTTGGTACCAGGGATTAAACTCGGGACCTTGCACTTGTGAGCCAGGCGGCGGAACCACTGAGCTAAATCCCCGGCCTCCAACAATATTTTTTGATCCGGAGTGGTGCCCCTTCCTCTCCCACCAGGCCACAGACGCTTCCCAGGGCCTTGTGTTTACAAGCTCTAGGTGACTTCTCTCTCTGTCTCCTTGCACAGAAATGGCAACTCCACCTTCGGAGGCGCCGGGAGGCCCTGAAGATGTCTCCAGGATGCAACTGCCCGCCAGGTAAGGAGCTCTGTGAACCGTGAGGTCAGCGTCTTTAGGATAAAAGCACCAAATACTGGAAATCCTTCCCGGTGCTCATGCTGACTTCACAGGCCACCTAGGCCATTGCCTCTCATTTGAAAGATGGGTGAATGATGGTGTCTATGATGGTTACCTTCTGTCTACTCACGGATGGGCCCACTGGTCTATCCATCCATTCATCCACCCATCCTTCCATCCATCCATCCACCCCCCCATCAGTCATCCATTCAAGCATGCATTCATTCACCCCCATTTGTTCATTACCTCTTCTGTGGCCGGACACTCTGTGAATCAGGTTGCAATGGAATCAGCTAAGATGATAGATGCTGTCATGTCTTGAAAACCATGATGTGCTGCATGGGGCCCAAGGGAAGATCAGCTCCACGAGAGTGGGGACCCCACTTGCTATGTCCACTGTTGAGCCTGCAGCTCCTGACACATAGGTGGTGCACAAAATGTTTCTTACCTGAGTGAATGAGGGCCCCCCTTATTGTGAGGCTTTGTTTGCCCTCACCAGGGGCCTTGGGGTGGCATGCCCAGTCTATGGTATCTGAGCCACTCTTATACACCCACATGCTCACACACAAGGTACCAGACACCTTAAAAATTGCCAGGTGGTGGGGTGGAACGAAGGGAGCCACTCTAATCTGAATTCAAATGCTACTTTTGCCATTTACCCGCCCTGCATGGGCAGATCCCTTGCCAATGCCAAGGATCCCTATTCTAGTGTTTCTGGCCTGCCCCATAATTATGTCTCCACATGGATTTAAAGCTGTGCAAGGCAGCTTCTCTGTGCCAGCTGCCATGCCAGGTGCTGAGTTCAAGTATATTATCCAAAGGTTATGCCACTGATACAGGACGGCTCCTGGGAACTTTCCCGGGTTCCTGGCTGTGTGCGCTAAGCTGTGAGGACAGCAGATGAACGTAGTACCCTGCTCTTTAGAGCACCTAGAGTGAGCTGTGCTCCTTTGGGGTGGGGAAGCAAGCCCTAAAATGTAATCGCAGGGAGACTGGCCCTGCTCAGGCTCTCTGCCAGTCCAGGGTGTTCCCCCCTTGGTACCCTCTGGGGGCAGGTGGCTGTGGTGGGGCACTCTCTGGCAGGACTCCTCTGGCCACAGGAGGTGAGGGCCCTAAGAACCCTCACACAGGGACCTCAGACCAGGGAAGGAGGCTGGCAGATGTTAAGCATATGGGAAGTGCAGGGACCACATTGGGCTGGGGTGCATGGGCTGGAGTGGGAGTCACAGAGCGGGCACGCTGTGCCGGGAGACGTGAGAGTGTAAAGACATTCAGCTGGCCGAAGTCAGAAGGGGGTCGTCAGGGTTAATTAAAAGGGTATCCAGAAGCCCTGGGAAGCTCCCTCACTCCCTCAGAGCCCAGGCAATTGGGCCCTGGGGTCTGGGAAAGCTTCCTGGAGAAGAATACCAAGATTAATGAGACGAGGTGGAGATGCGGGTGGGGTAGCAGGGCCTGGGCAGAGTGACTGTGCACACCCGCATTTCTGGGCCTGCCCACAGTTAGGTCATTTTGTCTGTTGTCCTCAGAACTCTCAAGCAATTACAGTTGATTAAGGGCAGGAATTTTGGAGCTGCAGAAGATTTAAGTTTGAATTCCACCTTTACATATACCAGCTGTATGACTTTCAGAGGGTGTTTCAACCTCTCTGTACCCCAGTTGCCTTGTCTGAAAAGCAGAGGTAATAGTCATCTTGCAAATGTGTGGTAAAGATTCAGTGAGATGGTCCTGGACTATCTGAATTATTAGCACTGTGTCTTATCTACATTAAGTGCTGTTATTACTCCTATGTCCTCATCTGCCTCTTGTACGTCAAAGACACCCAGAGATCCTTATCAAACTCCATATCCTGGTGTTCAGGGCATTGAGGGCTGCATGTTCATGGCCAGGCTGAGCCTTCTTCTTCCCCTGTCTGATCTGGGAAAGCAGAGCAGTTGTCTGATGGTCTTCAGATGGCTGGCTGCTGTCAGTGGTGCCTAACCCACAGGGGCTGTGCTCCCAAAGGTCTGGCTCAGGTGGTTCTGGGCAGTGGCGCTGGGGAGAGATGGGGCAGGAGGACTTGGAAGAGCACCTCACTTCCTCTTTGCCTGCTGGGAGGCCATGAGGGACCCAGGGTCTTGGTCTTGGCCAGAGGGGAGTCCAGAGCTTGGGGCTGGGGAAGGAGACACTGCGGGGGGTGGTTTGCAGCAGGCCCTCTGTGGGGTGGGGAGGGGGCAGCAGGGATTATGTTGGGCTGGCATAGAGCAGAGAGAGCAGGGGCTTGTGTATCTGATTCCCTGGGGGTTGGGAAGTTCAGCAGGGCAGTTTGATCAGAAGCACACGGTTAAGAGCAGGACAGTTTCCCCAAATCGAGGCAGAATTGGGTGACTCAAATGCCTTCTGCCAGCTCTTTGGAGAGTCAGGCTGAGGACTGGAAAGGTGTCAGGAGGCCATCTCACATCCTGGATATCAGATCGAAGTACATCTTCAGCCCTGCAGGGTCCCCATACCTGCCTAGCCTCCCTCCCCTCTCCCCCAACCTGAGGCATTGCACCCTGAAATAAAGAAACCTCCTCAACATGGACACTAGGGCGCTCTCAGTCATACCGGTTTCTGTCACTGTCCTCAACTGAGTACCCACTGTGTGCCGCTTCATCCTGACGGGGACTGTCCTCAGAACACTAACAAGAGATAGAGTTCTCACATCCTGAAATGCTGCCTCCTCAAATGTATGAGTAAAACCCCTGTCTCCTCTCACCTGCATCATGTAGCTCTGATTCTTGCTGTAGGGTCAGTTTACAAATATTTTACGATGCTTGCAGGACTCATGCAAGTGCCACGTGCAAATGCAGTGTTATTCACCTTGGTCTCGCCAGCACTTAATATTGTGTCCCCTACATAGTAGATGCTCGATGCATGTGCAACAAATTCAGTAATCATTTCTGATGATTAGATTCTTTCTCGTGATCTCCGTCTGCCACTTGATTGCTTTGGATGCTTTCCTTTCTGTTCCACCCCCAGTCTTGCCTAATGCTGGAATCGCCACACAGGACACAACAAATAAACACACTCTTCCTGCCCATGGTGGCCCTTGAGATCAGGGTCTACAGCTCCAAGCCCAGGCCTGCCCTGTTTGCCTCTGTGGCCAGCTCTCAGAGTCCTGTGGTGGGTGTGTTCTTCCTTGGGCGGTAGGTAGAGAGCTTGGGACATATAATCATGGGCAGAGAACCTACCTTCTTCCCTTCCTAGTCTGACCTTGCGAGCATCCTACTGGGATCCTCCCTGTCCTAAAATAGCCCTCTATTGGTTCAGAGCTGGCCATATCCTGCTTCTGAGCCACACGTGTTATTTGCCAGGGCAGTGACAGGCTCTCAGGCCACGGATGAGATGCCAGAGGTCAAGCCTCAGTTGGGAGGGACACTCAGCCAAGAGTTCAGAGGAATAGGTGTGGACCATTTGCAAAGCTGCAGTCATTCTGGTGGGTTGGGAGAAGGGCCTTGGGAAATGATGTACATACGGTGGGACTTCCTGGGCCACTTGAGATGAATACAAAGATCAGGGAAATTCACCCATTCTTGAGCCCCATTCTAATTAACAAAGGAAGAGGAGGACAATATAGGTTTCAGCTGGCAAGGAAGCAGCTCCTTTAGCCCCACCTCACTGGGGCTGGGTGGGGTGGCCAGTGCCACATCCAGGCTGGGGCTGGTGACCTGAGGTGTGGAACATTGTCACACACAGAAGGAACCATGGCTAGCTGAGTTGCTGAAGCCAGTCACCTCGCTGCCTGGGCCTCATCTGTAAGGGAAAGGGCAGGGCAGGGTCACATGTGACTGCCTGGCTGAAAGCTTGGGCTGACACAGCAGCAGGGACAAGTAGGGTCAGCTCTGCCTCTCAGTACCGTCTGTCACTGGCCCTTGCATGGAGGGTGGATGGTGGGGAGGGAAGATGCTGTTGGCCAGGCTTGTGGGAGAGGCTGTGACCATGCCCTTCAGAATGCTGGTGACAGGTGTGTGTCAAGTGTCAGAGAGCCCCGAGGAGCTTGGGACCCTAGGAGAGCTTCACCGAGGAGGTGGTGGCACTGAGGCCAGTCTCAAGGAAGCAGGTGGGAGGGAATACAGTTAGAGAACAGGCTCAGCTGCCACCATACCAAAGACCCCCAAATACAAGTACTTCAAACAGAAGTGCAGGTCTCTCTTACTTAGCAGGACAAATGGGCGTGCATGATCCAGGGCTGGGAAGTGGCCCTATCACCTTCATCTTGGGGCAGTCATCTCTCGGCCCCTGGTAGTTAGCTGCTTTATTTCTTGCCATCTCTCAGCTAGCAAGAGTGAGGAAGGGACTAGGGCAGTGTATACTCAAATCCTCAAGAGCAGAATGTGAAAAAAAAAAAAAAAAGGTCCCTTCACCTCTGCTCACTCCCCATTGGCCAGCACTTAGCAGCCTGCTTATCCTGGCCTGGGGAAGGTGAAACAGTGTTTTTTGCTGGGTGGCCTCATGCCCAGAGTGCACTTTGTTACTGTGGGAGGTAGGAGAACAGATATCCAGGAAAGACCAGCACTCAGCACAGAGAGCTTTCCAGGCACTGCCAAAGGCAAAGCTTGCAGGGCCGGAAACAAGGCAGGAATATTTGGGGAGATGACAAGCAGTTTAAGGCATCTGGAGCACAACACAGTGTGGTGATGGGAAATGGATAGGCAAGGATGAGGGCGGAAAGAGATGTCAAGACTGCAAAGAGTCTGGATGAGGAGTTTAACTCTCTCTCTGCTCAATGAGGTCAAATGGTTTTCATGCTGAGGGTGATTGATTGGTAATGGCTGCCTGGAGGGCTGTGCTGAGTCAGCCTCTGAGGTGGTATCAGGCTCAGCAGGAAGCGTGGTAATCACTTAATCATGTCTGCCATGGGTGCAGGAGCGTGAACAGTTATGCCTGTGCCCTGGCTGTGTTATCCTCACAGGATGTAATGTGGCATCTGGGGCCAGGGTGAT